ATTTCACTTAATCAGTTTAAAATTAAATCAAATTTATGTTTATTACACACAAATATTGAATTATTAATCTTATTTGTAAATTAACGTAGGTTGTAAAATTTCTTTAACGTAACTCTCAAACCAGAACAAATTTGTATTTATTATACCATAACTTATGAGTCTGAATAGAAGGATTTGATTAGACTAGGTGATTGCGTCAAAAGCTTTATTTGATTAGACGTGATTGCGTCAAAAGCTTTATATAAATTAATGAAAACACCTAGGGTATTCTTAAGTACAAATCAAAGTGTACTTTAGTAGTTGTTTTATTTGATGATAGAGTAGGACCTATATTTACAAAAAACTGATTAAGTTTTTTAGCCGTTAAGGGTTTTTCAATTAAGTTTTTTACCCACTAACTTATTTACAATACAATTTTTATTAATTTTAACATTTTCAGAAAGTAAATTTCGGTGTAAATATTTTTCTTATTTACACCGAAATTACAGTTAAATAATATGGTACGTTTTTTGTTTTGTTTTTTAATCATTTTCGTGTTTTATTAATTGTTCAGAATATTAACATTTTTTTGAGCGCTTAAAAATTGATTTAAATAGCCGTTTATAACTTTTATAATTAGTTTTATTTTAAAGAAGCTTTTTTTAAGAAACTTGTTAAATAAACATTTTTATTTTTTTTAAGATTTAAGAACACCACCCGTGATTCAAGGGTTTAGAAAATTCATTAATGTGAATTTATTTTGAAAATGAATCCAAAAACTTTTTAATTTGTTAAATAAATAATTTATTCATGAGACAAACATTTTTTTGTGACTATCAACAGAACAGAAACAGCTACAATGAAAAAATGTCTTGCAAATAGCAACACATTTTTTCAGAAACCATTTTATGTTTTCTGAAAAAATGTCTTTGAAAACAAAACCTTTGTTTTTTCAAAATTTTTTTATTTTATTTTCTATATTAGATTATTATAACTAAATCAATATTCTAATAAGTTTCAATTAAAATAAATTATCAGAAAATTGACTTATTTTTTTGGGACCAAATAGTCTGAATTTTGACGTCTTCGTTCTGATTACATGTAATAAGCCTCTAAATAAAAAAAAACATTAACTTGAGACTCAAACGTGATTCAAGAAGATGAACAAGAATACTCTCAAGAAACTCCCCCGTAACCACCTGGTAAAGAAAACTACTTTTTAAAATAAACATTCAATTTAATTTGGATCAAAATCTATAATTAGATTTTAAATATATTTTAGAGCTCCAAGAGTATGACCATACGATAATATTTAGAACTCTCACATTTTTTGAACGTTTTACAGTTTTAGAAAAAGGTTAAAAAATGAAAAAGATTTTTTGTAAAGATTTGTTTCAAAATTTCAGAAATAAAAATAACTTTATTTAAAAATGTTGAAAAAGAACACATATGTAGAAAAATTCCAAATTTCAGAAAAATGCCAAAGTCTCTAATGGCTTAGGGCATTAGTATTTGACTATTTAAAATGAAAATTTTTATTATAACTTAACAATTTTAGGTATTTCCTATTTCATATAATTAAACTTAATAAATATATAAAAATTGACACAAAATATATACTTTAAATATATAAAAATATATTTTTAGATTCATTATAAAAATATATACATTTAAAATATATTGAAATTATTACCGCGAACCCTAGGAGGCATTTTATATAAAGCGCACACACTTTTTTCTCTTTTTTTTATTTGTTGTTATACGAAGTTTGAATAAAAAAGGCTACTGCGCAGAAAACAGAAACAAGTTGAGACTACTGCGCAGAAAACAGAAACAAGTTGAGACTACTGCGCAGAAAACAGAGACAAGTTGAGACTACTGCGCAGAAAACAGAAACAAGTTGAGACTACTGCGCAGAAAACAGAAACAAGTTGAGACTACTGCGCAGAAAACAGAAACAAGTTGAGACTACTGCGCAGAAAACAGAAACAAGTTGAGACTACTGCGCAGAAAACAGAAACAAGTTGAGACTACTGCGCAGAAAACAGAAACAAGTTTAGACTACTGTGCAGAAAACAGAAACAAGTTGAGACTACTGCGCAGAAAACAGAAACAAGTTGAGACTACTGCGCAGAAAACAGAAACAAGTTGAGAAAAATACTTTCAGAGATATTCTGAATTTGAACTTCCTACCTTTAAAAAGCAAACAATTTTTAAATATTATTAATAATATTATTATAACTTATATACCAATTAATTATAAACTTAAAGTATATTAGCTAGTTGAAAAGATTTATTGTTGCGAAACATCATAGGATTTTGAGTTTGCTACGCTTTTTCTCCAAAGTTTGAAGACAGCTTCTTTTTAAATATAAAAAGCCTCTGTGTATATAAAAATTATTTCAAAAAGTACACATTATGCCTATCCAAATTTTTTAAAGTTTTATCTCATCCCAAACCCCAGCACCACCACCAGCACCGTGTAAGCATACTTTAAAACCCTACACAGGTTCAGAACAAGCACTGATTGCAGCGAATCCAACTGATGCGCAGTCTGATTTGCTAGTTTTAAATGAGGCATGTGCGCATGAAAAAAATTCAAATAAAAATCAAAGCCAATTTTTGAAATAGATAAAGTAGTACTTTTGTTTATATCAACACAGGAAACTCATTTTATTTTAGTACTTTTCAAAGTATGTGAAAGGTACAAAAATCTACTTGTATAAAACAATGTTTGCTCTCAAAAATCTTAAAACTTTAATAATGTCTGTCTTGGTTATGAAATTTTATCTATTGATAATATAAAGAAACGGAAGAAAATAATGTATATGTTAAAGTAAACTTGAAAAGTAAATCTGTAAATCTATGTTTCTCGTAAATTGTAATGCCGCTAGTCTATGAAGCTTACTCAATAAAAAATTTATATTAAAGGTTATAGTTTTAAGGTGGTTAAAGTTTTTTTTGGTTCAGTATTTTTCGATTTGATATTAAAATTTAAAACTAACGGTTCAGTTTTTTTCCGGTTCGATTTGAAATTTTATTTGATTGTTTCGGTTTGGTTCCGGTTAAAAACAAAAAAATTGTTTTGGAGAGTAATTATTTCATAAATTTAGAATGACAGATTTTAAAAACCACTACAAAAAAAAAAAAATATATATATATATATATATATATATATATATATATATATATATATATATATATATATATATATATATATATTTAATGTTTTAACACCCAGCCTATTTTTTCTGGCAGTGACGACATAACCGGCAGTAATAAAAACCTTTTCTGAAATTGCAAAAGTTGCTGATTTACATATACGTATGTCCGTGGATAGTTAAATAGAAATAAATACTTCAACTTCATTACTTTCCTCTAAACTCTAAAATACTTTCTTTTTTTTTCTCCTTCTTGTTTTTGTTGTTTTTCCGCAACAAAAAAACAGTATCTGAGCACGTAAACTTTCTAGTCAAAAGTTCCTCCGCGGTGCTCTATGATAAGAATGTAAGGTATCTTCTTTGAGCACCTTAATAATAATTTAAAAAAGCTTTTATCTAACTCATATTTTATAAAACCTAACTCCGTTCTGGTCCTCAACAATGATGAGGACCAGAAAAAAAAAAATATATATATATATATATATATATATATATATATATATATATATATATATATATATATATATATCAACAATTTTGAGGACCAGAGCAAAGTTAGTGTTTTGAGTCTGCACATTAAAGAATTTGAGAATATGTTGAGTCAACATATGTTCATAATTTTACAGCAACGCCGACCACATTGCTTTTCCGTTCTTTGAAAATTCTCAAACTAAATAACTAACAAATATTTTAGTTAAAAAAGAGTTTTTGTCTTCTTTTTTTCTTTTTTGGTATACATTTGGTGTTCGTTTTACAACTTTATATAACCAATAATAAAAATAATAAAATAAACTCACAATCGTAGAAAATATAACAAGTATAAACAAGGTATCTGAAAGAAGGTCACGCGGATCTTGTCGAATCCTTAAGTAAGCATTTAACAAGCATAAGATAAACGAAAAATTAATAAACTTCTACGAAATTTGAAGGTAAATAATTTATCTATCTGAAAAAAGATCAAGAGGATCTTTTCATCAGAATTTTATACTGGCGTAAACCAACATATAAATTAATAAGTAAAAAGTATAAGAACAATAAATAAAATAAGTAGGAATAAACTTCTATAAACGTAGACATGTATTATAAACAATAAAAAAGTAAACAAAAACATATTTTTAACTTTTACTACTATTAATAACTCAGTATATTATCTAATGAAAAAATAAAGTTTTTTAGTTTATTTTTAAAAAGCCAAAAAGTAATAGGTACTTAAAAGTTAACTTTAAATAACTTTATGGTTATTTAAAAATTCTATATCGGTCTTTTCGTTTTGGTTTGGTTTTTTAATTTTTTTTTAATAAGTAGACCGGTTCGGTTTGATTCAATTTTTAATGTTTGGTTTTCACCGAAAGAACGGTTCGGTTCGGTTAACCGCGTGGCCTTACTGGTGAAGTACTTTATACAAAGTATAATAGTTAAAATGTTACAAGGGCTGTTGCAAACACGTTGTTGGTATTTTTATACCCACTTGTTGATTATAAAGAATATAAAATACTTATATATACAAATGTCGATGGAAAAATCATAACGTTTTTGTATTATTATTTGATTATATGAAGAGCTATTCCGATTCACTTATTATTCAGTTTGCTTTTTGATACTTTTTAATTTTTAACAAACGCGTGCACAATTCTCAAATCAGAGTATCAGGTTGTGTCTCTTCCTAATCTGAGTCTGTTTCAAAATAAAAAAAGGGTTCAAAATAATCAAAAGGGTTTCAAAATATTCCATTTGTATTCAAGTTTTAAATTAGTTGTTTTGGAAGTTCAATAAGACTCCCTAAAAAGTAAATGATCATTAAAGAAGCATTAAATTAAACAAACAGCTTTTAATTATCAAAAATGAATTTATTTGATGATAATTATAATAAAAAGCATTGATGAAAATATTATACAAGACAGAAATAAATCGTAATACAAAATTAAAAAATAATAAATGATACAAGCAAAATTATATAAAAGTAAAAAAATGTATCAAATTATATTTACAAATTGTTCATTGTTTATAAGAAATGTTATCGCGTTAAATTTTAATTAAATTAATAGAATTGCAAAGCAGGGTTGCCAAAACGAAATGACGTGGAATTTAACAAAGATGAGCTCCAGCATTGTTCTAAAAACAGAAGAAACTTTTCGCATAATTTTTGTTCAAAGACATACAAATTTTTTGATAAATATATTGAAATTAGGCAATAAAAATTTATTGTTAAATATAAAAATTTGATAAAAATTATCTGATAAAAATTTGTTGTTAAATATATTAAAATTAGACAGATAATAGAAACTAAATTTAATAAAAAATAAAAAAAATTAAACAATTTTAGAAATTCTGCTTTATTCAAAACAATAATACCTTTTGTTGTTTTGAAAAATTGAGAAACCCGATATTTTAGCCAGGTCACAAAAAAGATACTAAGGCATTAGCAACATTTGCCAACGACAAGCATCGTTATCAGGATTTTTAACCATTTCATTCCAGTGCAGAGACTCGTTGGTTCCCGAGGTATTTTTTCCAAAAGCAAACCACCCAATAATTTCACCTCTTTTCTTTTTTCTTGCATCTAAAACAGTAAACATCATAGTTGCTTCTTTTAAGTCTATCGTTGACATTGGGTACACAAATGTTTCGTTAAATTCAGGATCGCTTGCTGGAGGGTGTATTATTGTTTTACTCTTTCCTATCTGCTTTCCATCACCAGCAACACATTTAATTTTTATAAACACAGCTAAAAAGTTTGTTAAACATAAAAATATAACAAATAATAATATTACCAAAAGCTTACTTATAAAAAGAATAAATGGCAAAGAAAATAACTAACAAACAAGATTTTTTACTGAGAAAAAAATAAACAAAATGTTTACATAAGCATAGGTTATCTACGTTACACCTATAGTATACTAAAAAAAAGAAGATAATTAACAAAAAAAGTTATAAGAAAAGAAGATAAACAAAAATAAAAAAGAATGTTTAAAATTTATATAAACTTATTTTAATAATATCACTTATATTCGCCATTATAAATATAATCGCCATCATAAATATAATCGCCATTATAAATATAATCGCCATCATAAATATAATCGCCATTATAAATAACTTTAATTAAAATATTTAAGCATTAAATACAAAAGTATTACACAAACGACTAACATGGATTTACAACCATGGTACTTGTTTTAAAGTTTGCTCCCTTGATAATTTCCACATACAGCCTTCCCGTTAAATCTTTGTAATGTAAATTTACCATTAGTTCAGGCATATTTATGGGTTCTTCATATGTTAAAACACTCTCCGAACTCTCAATTTTCTTGACAGGTTCCGTGAAATCATCTTCTGTCTATGAAAATTTAATTTTGTTTTTTAAACTTGCAAGTACATGAAAATGTTTGCTTAGATCATAAAAAAGAAAAAAACGATAATGAAAATGGCTATAACAATAGCATAAATGCAAATAAACTGGGATGTTAACTAATGAGCTTTTCTGCCTATTTCGTTATTTGCGTTACTAGATATGACGGTGTAATGATGTTTTTTTTATTGCTTTTAATAAAGTTTGTATTATAATCTGAATTAAGAAAAAAAGGGGTACAGGGAAGGGGAAAAGAACATACGCCTTCATTAAAAATCTCAAAAGTACTCAAATAAAAAACAGAGGCTATATTTAAACATTGCAAGTAGTCTAAATCCTTAAATAAGTTGGAATGTAAAAATCAATGGGAGTAAAATATTTCAATAAAATTTTTAACAGGCACAATGTTCAAACTTTTTAAGTCTATTTTTTATGTAACTTTTTTTTTTAACTATAATATGCATATTATTAGGGGTGGATAGAGGAGCAGATCCAGGATTTTTTGGTATTTGAGTTATATAACTTCCAGGTAAGTTCTTATCTCGGGGGCTCTAAACTCGAAATTTTTGTATTTTTATACTTTAGTCATTTAAGGATGATTTGCCGAAAATTGCGTTGATTAGAGCATGGGAACAAAAAAACCTTAAAAAGTAAGCTCACCTGCCCAAATGGGGTGAAATCAGTTTTTCTAAATATAAATTCTAATATCCTAAATTAGTTGGTAATATCGTTAAGATATTTTAAATTAAAAAAAAAAATCTTTAGAAATTTGTTTAGAAATTATATCCAGTTTAAATTTACAAACCCCTCGTTTTGTGGGGGCTCTAAACTTTAAATGGCTATAACTTTTAAACGCTAGATGATTTTTTGATCAAACTTTAAATATTGATACACATTTAAATTTTATCAAAGGAAGTAACTTTTTTTTGGAAAAATCATTTACAAAAGTTAACAATACAAACATGTTATCTGGAATATGATTACAAATACCTTGTCGTCAGAACCTTAATAAGTGTTGACAAGCTTTTAAAAAAACATAATATTAAAAAAATGATAAAATACAATAAACTTTTAAAAAGTTTCAGCGACTGCTTAGCATATAAACATTTAACTAAAAAAAAACTAAAATAAAACTAAAAAAAACTAAAAAAAATCTTCTCAGTACATAACATACATCTAAAACAATAAAGCACATTTAACATAAACATAAATTTTATATAAATTTAGATAAATATCTAAAATAACACTAAAAATTCAAACAAGGTAAACAAAGATATATTTATGAGTTTTATTTTATTAATAACACCACAATATATTATCTAATGAAAGAATTTTTTTTAAAAGTGAAAAATGAAATAAAAATTTTTTCTAGCGCAATTTAGAATAGAAATTAGAATAGAAAAATCAAACCAAACTTTATAGCCCCAATTTAAAGATCTGTGCAAAGTAGATAAATAGATTTTCATAGTTCAAAGTAGTTAAGTAGACGTCTATAAATTACGTCACGCTATAAGGGGGGATGGGGGTTGGTGATTTTGTGACAACACTTGCAAAACTTGCTTCTTAAGTGTTATGATTTTGTGACGGGGAGGAGGAGGGGGTAGAGAGGTTAAAAATGGTCAAAAATTGCGTGACGTAATTTATGGACGAGCCCTAAGTAGATTTTTTTAAGTGTAATTTTAAAGCGCTTGTATAGTTTAAAAAGTTTGTATAAAGGTTTGTTCAAAGTTTGTATAGAAGTTTTTTGTCAGTAATATATAATTAATACAAAAAATTTAATGTTTGAAAAAGAAACTTATGCTTAATTATTTAAACAATGCATTAGTTCATCACAAAAATCGCAAAAACCTCTCTTAGTGACTGAGGTAGATAACATTCAGGCATGAAGTAAACTTTTAAAAACTACAGTAATTGGAGCCTGAGAAAATAAAAAAGCTATAACTTATACTTCTATTATAGTTATAAAAAGAATAACTTTCATAATTTATCTGAAAATATTCGCGCGGAATGTCTGTGTAAAACTTCTACTTTTAAATAATAAGGGGGTTGTAAACTTTATGGTCCTAGCTTTTAAATAATAAGGGGGTTGTAAACTTTATGGTCCTAGCTTTTAAATAATAAAATATTATAAAATGAAATTTGAATTCAATCAATGAATATAAATTTAGAATAGTAATAGTATAAAACTTAGTAAATTATTACTCACACCTTAGAGTTTGGGAAAAGTGAAAGCGGAGGAAGGGCACAAGTTTTGGGTTGTTTGTTCCCAGACTCTAATCACTACAATAAAAGATATCTAAAAGTGAAGTTTGTTACATATCTGAAAATTACATATTTTAAACACCAAAAAGCTGCTTGTTAACAAAAAATTGAGTTTTATTTGTAACTTTTATTTAATCTATAAAAAGGTTTTTATAAATAAAGATAATAATAATATTTTTTTATTATTAGTTTAAAAAATAATAAAAGTTTTATAGTTTTACGACTTAGCATTTTTTCTTTTTGTAACAACAACTTTGGGTAAAAAAGCAAGATAATTTGTTATTGATACGTTCGCGTTCTTGTGGTAACAATGCGGTAAACAAAGAACAACTTTTTTATTTGTGGTGCAGAAAACCTGCGTTGCTCGAACTAGAATTAACAACAAAAAATGCGCATATGAAAAGGAGAAAAAAAGACGGATTAGAAAATGGAAATATGAAAAATATTTGTGTGGTAAGATCAAAAATCCTAAAGTAGCGGCAAAAATGACTTTCTTCTCAGGGGTATGATTGTGTCACTTGTTTTGAAAAGGCTAACAACAGTCTCCTGTATTATTTATATACTATATTAGTTGGAAATAGGCTCGGCAAAAACCGGAAAATTTTCCAAAACAGGTTTTCGTTTGTTTTTTTAATTTTAAACCGGTAACCTGGTTTTGTATACATGTAAAATAGGTTACCCAATTTTTTAATTATAAATACAAACTTTTATTATTGTTGTTTAAATCCAATGTAACCTACTGATATTGTATACTGAAATTAGAACTGTAGACTATTTGTAAAATATTTGTGTGTTAAGATATAATATCCTAAAGTAACGGCAAAAATGACCTTCTTTTCAGGGATATGAATGTGTCACTTGTTTCGAAAAGGTTAACACAAGTCTCTTGTATTAATTATATAATTATATTAGTTGGAAATAGGCTTGGCAAAAACCAAAAAAATTTCAAAAAGCCGGTTTTTGTTTTTTTTTTAATTGTAAAACCTAGTAACCAGGTAACCGGTTTTACACCTGTTTTTTTTTTTTAATGATAAAAACGAATTTTTGTTGATGTATAAGACCAATGTAAGCTACTGAATTTTTAATTGGAAATAATTCTATAAACAGAAAAAGAAAGCAAAAAAAGTTTAAGAAAACAAAATTTAGCAAAACCATTTTTTTAAACAATAAAATCACAGTTTAGAGTGCACTGCTAATAGCAAATTACGATAAAGTAATTTTTGCTTGAAAATCATGTTTTTTTAATAAAATTTATTTAAGCTCTATTAAACAACATAACTATAGCTCGATAACCTACTTTTTATTTTTATACTATTTACAACTGAAAATTATGCATGTGATATGTTACAAAAGTTTAATGTAAAAAAAAACTAGAATTTTAATATCTTAAGTAATACAAAGCCAAAATTACAAAAAAAATATTTTTTGGATTTTGCTGTTTGATTGTTTTAATTTGAGGTTGTTATTTAAAATCTTAAATTAAAATAGTTTATCAACTATAACAAAAATTAAACAACAAAAGTATCAACAGCAAAAAAAAAAGTACTTCAAGTTAGAGGTCTTAACTTTTTCTAGATTGTTTTGATTATTATAACTATTTTAAAATCTAAATATTGCTGAATGATTCTGTCAGTATGTAATGATTCTGTCAGTATGTAATGATTCTGTCAGTATGTAATGATTCTGTCAGTATGTAATGATTCTGTCAGTATGTAATGATTCTGTCAGTATGTAATGATTCTGTCAGTATGTAATGATTCTGTCAGTATGTAATGATTCTGTCAGTATGTAATAATTCTGTCAGTATGTAATGATTCTGTCAGTATGTAATGGTTCTGTCAGTATGTAATCATTTTGTCAGTAATCTTTTAATAATTGGTAGAAAAAATATTGAAATAAATAAAACTAAATGCAATATCAAGTGTTTTTTAAAACTGAATATACTTTCACAATATTTGTGCTTTCTACGTTACCAGTGGGTGTTGAAGACCTTATTGTTTTTAGGATTATGGTAAAATCAGTAAAAGCACCAGTAGGTATTGATAAACGTATTGGTTTCAGGATTTTATTATTAAAAGCACCAGTTGGTGTGACAGGCCGATTGTTTTCAGGATTTTCCCATTTTATATCTGTGCTAATTTTACCTCTGATTTTTCTTTACAAAAGAAAAAGCGAGTTAAAAATGTCTTTTATTTTAAAAGCTTTAACAAATTTACAAAGAGGTTTTATAGATAAATATAATATTAAAAATACAATATATTTATATTTACAATTAAAAAATAAAAAAATAAAACTTCTTAGTTTTAGTTTTTAATTAGTTTTTTTTTTTTATTTCTTTTCAAAAACTTTATCTAAAAAAGGAAGCAAAATGTAATTGACACGTTCGCTTTCTTGCTTTTGAGGGGGGTACCAAAGAGTATATTTACATTGTCTTGAGACAAAGAACAGTTTAGTTACAAAATATTAAATAATTAATTTTAATATACAATGGCCAAACTGGTTACACAAAATTTAAAATAAATAAAATACCACATTTAACCAAAAGTTTAGAAAAAAAAAATTTTCTGTTAATTTTTGTTTGTCTCGTCCTTGTTTATTTTTGTGGAAAATTTCAATGTCTTGTACGGTTCATCAGTTTCACCAGTCGTCAAGGTCGGGTTCATCTTCTTCATCAATCCCCAGACAGTAAGCCTGAATAAATGTTTAAAAAGGTTTTATAAAGTAAAATATTAAATACTGTTTTTTTATCCTACTTATTTCACTATCATTTTAGATTACCTAATAAAAAAATCTATAATGTTTTCTATTGAACTTGCATAATTAATAAATATTTCAAAATATTTTTATTTGATTAAAATTTTTAATTACTCTGCTAAATTAAATTATAATCTATTCCCAACAAAAAAGGTTTTTATGAATCAAATATTTTATGAATTTTTTTCTTAACATTTTATGCAAGGATATAGTTTTGCATTCGCATTTTCTGCGACTTTAAGTGGTATAATTATTATAGCGACACACTCATAGCGACGGATCTTATTAACGCATTTTTTTTAAATAAGAGTGGTTTTTATAATTTGTTTTTTAGTTTCATCCTAAATCTTTCTAAACAACTCTCTTATACCCAAAGATATTATTGGCTCACCATAGGAACAGCCACCAATAGTCATTGAGACTAATCTAATTTATTTATTTAAAACAAAAATATAACAATAACGGTATTGAAAATTATTTTTGCGTAACAAAGCACAGCTCAAGCGCTGAGTTGGCGGTGCTCGGATTTGAATTCGTACTGCACAACAGTCCAGGTTTTAACATTTTGTTTGACACTCTGACCATCTGAGCTATCTAGCGACTATGTTTGAAAATTACATGTTGTATGATAATATCTAATTGTCAAATATAGCTTAATTTAATTATCAAATATAGCTGTAATGTAATTTATGCAGATTTTACAAATTAATTTATGCAAATTTTATAAAAAGAAAATTGTTGGTTGGAGCCTTTATCAATTTTGTAATTGTTCACTTATCAAAAACACAATTTTTATTAGAAAAAGTTTTAACTTCTTATTTATTTTTTAGTTTTATAAATTGCTTTATAATTACTAATATTTATTCTATTTTTTTGCAGTCATATTTTCAATTTTTTGACTTTTTGAATTAAATATTAACTCATTAAAAGAGTTGATGCCATTGGAATGAGAAAGCTGACTCAATTTAAATGTTTAAAAAAATATCTAAAATGTCACAGTTTGTTCATTTTCTAACGTCAATCAAATATCTAAAAACAAGCAATATTAAACACACAAATGTCTATTAAACGTCAAAACAGCGTTTTGACAAAACGCTCAGATTTGATCGATTATCCGTTTAGAATGAAATTCAGATTAACGTTTAGAACAAACGTCCATAAAACGCCTATATTCAAACGTATTTTAGACGTCCATTATAGGATTATTAAACGTATATAAAGCGTTTAGATTTTTTCTAATTTACGTTTAAATCTAGTCTAATTAACGTATATAAAGCGTTTAGATTTAGTCTAATTTACGTTTAAATCTAGTCTAATTAACGTATATAAAGCGTTTAGATTTAGTCTAATTTACGTTTAAATCTAGTCTAATTAACGTATATAAAGCGTTTAGATTTAGTCTAATTTACGTTTAAATCTAGTCTAATTAACGTATATAAAGCGTTTAGATTTTTTCTAATTTACGTTTAAATCTAGTCTAATTAACGTATATAAAGCGTTTAGATTTTTTCTAATTTACGTTTAAATCTAGTCTAATTAACGTATATAAAGCGTTTAGATTTAGTTTAAGTAAACGTATATTAAACTATTAGATCTTGTCTAATAGTTTCTCAGATTTAGTTAACATAATTTCAATTTACTTAAGTTTTAAAAATTACATAAACTAAAATTGCGTTATAACTTTTTAACTTTATATAAGTAATAAGGGCTAACTAAGTCTTAAAATTTATAAATAAGATATAGTTATAAAAGATCTGGTCTTATTTTTTATATTTTTTATTACTATTTCAATACGTTTATACTATACTACTTACACTATACTTTTATATGATAATTTTTCTTTATATAGCCATATGCTCGTTAGGTCAATAAAATGATAAAAATTTAATACAAAAATTCAATTTTGGTGATTATTGATATTTCAAATTTTTCAAATATAACATTAAATCTATAAAATGATTTCACCAAATATTCGGATATTTCTTAAAACAAATCTAGAAACGTCTATAATATTATTTATAGGAAAGTTATATGTACAATACACATTGAGCATTTAAAAATCTGATTGGCTAAAATATTAAATATAAGAATAAATATACAATAATACAAATGAATATAACATAAATTTTTTTGTTGAATTTTTGAATGTGTTAATATTAAACTGATAGCGTAATGGGTAAAAAATTATATAATTATAAAGTATAAAATTATAACTGAATAAAAGTTATTATAAAATACATATATTAATCTTATTCCGTTCATATCATAACGTTGAATATATTTGTAATTTTTGTTTATATTATTTTCTTCATTTTTTTTTTATTGTAATACTTATTTTGAATAAATAATAGAACGGAAAAAAAAAATTAAAAAGTGACTCACCACTAATCCTTTAGGTCTTAGATATTTCCAAACTTGTTCATCGGATAAAGGACTAACTAGATCTAGTTGAGCCAATGGAAGTTTAACTTCACCAATCAGACGCCTGCTGAATCTCTGAGTACCATAGACTCTTAAACGAATTCCACAAGTTTCTATTTTGTCTTTTGTCATATGAATGAACGAAAATGTCTCATTAAATACGCCTTTTGACACAGCAATTGGTTTTGTTCTCTGTCTTTGTTTTCTTATGGGAAGAACGCACAGATGAATAGCAATCATATCAGACCCACCTCGTTCAACTTCAGGCATGTCTTGAACTCTAATAACAGTTAAATTAACTTTGTTAGCGGCAGGCATATATGTAAACTGTATAAGAACTTTTCCTGCTACGCACAAAGGCGGCTCCTCAACTTCTCTAGCATCCGTTGAAGTTTGATTATTTTCTTGAGATCGGGGAGTTAATGACGGAGTTTGTCTAGGACTTGATGAAGGAAAAGCGGAAGTCATTGGCGTTTGTGGTAATATATCTTCAAAAGCACGAACGGTTTTACGATTTGCAAGATACTGATTAATTGCATCTTTTAACGGATTTTCTTCTTTTTCTGCATTTCCAGTAGTCTCTTCTTCTTTTTGACTTGTATCGGTCATGTCTATAGAAGGTTCTACAGTAGCAGAAGGATTTGACGGAATCGTAGTTTCTTCTAATAAAGGTTGTCCTTCTTCTAAGAATAAATATATTTTTTATTTGGTTATTTTTTAGTTTTATAAACAATTTACAAAAATTTTCAATTCTAAAATTGTATTAGCAAAAGAAGCTTGGATTCTTAATTTTTTTTAAACAAAGAAATTTGTTGTTGTACCTTCCCCCCCTGTTCCACCATTGATAGGGCATAATAGATTTTTTCGTAACAGGAGATAAACGATTGCCAGTACGATCAGGAGAACCAATAATGAACTCAAAAATATTAAAGCCGGGAGAGGAACTAAAAATGAATTTAAATAAGTATAAATGTAACTCTTGCTCAACTGAATGAATTTCTACCAAACGACACAAAAATATATATATATATATATATATATATATATATATATATATATATATATATATATATATATATATATATATATATATATATTTATATTTATATTTATATATATATACATAAAGTAAACAAAAAGTTTAATCGTTTGTTTAAAAGTTACATTATTCAACTATAAATTAACTTACATAGGGACATATCGAGTCATTTTTAGCGGTCTTGTATCATAAACTTCTAACAACCAAAGAATTAAAAAAGAAGCCAAAACAATTTTTTTTTGTCAAGCAATATCTAAGAACTATTTATTTATTTATAAAAATTAAAAAAACTAATGTTTATTTTTTTATTTATTTGATATTGTTTTCAAGGATTTCTTCTTCCTCCATATTTGCTAACTAATGCAGATTCGTTGATGCGTAAAATAAATTCGGGGTGAAAACTAAACTCTTATGCTGAATATTTCATTTGAATGCCAGTAAAATTTCAGCCAAAAAGAATAAACGTAATTTAAAGGATTTTTGAAAATTATGCATAATATTTTTCAAACTTGTTAAACACTGTTTTTTAAATGTTTTATTGTCTTTTTTTTTTTTTGAATTTATTTTTTGAAGCAAAATTCTTTTAAAAATTCAAATTAAAAACAGTCTTCTTTTTTTCTCATTTGTGCTTTTTACGTTTTTAGATATCATTCTATAAACTAATTCGTGTGACACCTAAATAACTTTTTTAAATTTATATGAATTTTTTTAATTATGATGATGATTTTGTAATGTACTTTAACACTAGTACTGTAATGTAACAGAGTGTCTATTCGCACGTGAAAAAACGTGCGAGTAGACTATATTTAATTACAGTCTATTCGCACGTTTAACTAAAAAAAGATAAAGATCATCGAATTTAAATGGAATTTTAAAAAATTAGATTTATTATTATTGGTTCTCAACTTTAAAATTTAACTAGCGCAGTGGAGTACCAACGCAGTACTTACGTTGACTGACTTTTGAAGGATATGCGCACCGTAGTGTATTTACATATTGACTGCTTATCTAGAGATAGGCACACTGTAATATAAATACAGTGACGAGAGTTTATCTTGGGCCGACAATCTTTTAATTAAAAAAAGAAGTATTTCTTAATTTTTATTTTATCTATTGGCACGAGTTTTTGAATAAAAATTTAGTTATATTTAAGTAATTTTATTTATTTTTATTATAATTGATTAAAAAAATTAAACTGCTTTCAAAATATATGATTTAAGTTATAAACATTTTTTGTTTGTGAGAGATTTCATATTAAAAATCTAACTTGAAAATTTTTTTTAAACGTGCGAATAGACTAAAATTAGATATAGTCTGTTTACACGTGCGTGCGAGTAGACTCACTGTTTATATAATTATTATTTATTAATGTAATTGTATGACTTTCAATAAAAATTTAGGGATTACGTGAGTTTTTTTATAACCAAATGAAATTCTATGACGTTTCCGTAATTTATATGATTTCCATAACCAATGACCACCCTAAATTAACATTCTTATAGATAACTTTTGGTGTCAAGTCAAATATTCACAGTATTTGGCTTAACATAAGTATATTAGCACAAATTTGTTTATTTTTTAAACGAAATCTTTTATGGAGATTGTTAGGTTTGGCAAACTGGTAACTAACTCTAAGCAAAACTTTAAGTGTTAAAAAACAAGCATTGCTTCTATATGTTTAATATGAGTCACCAGCTCGTTTTCCATTTTATTAGAATCACAAATTGACTGATCTTTATGACTACAACAACACTTGCACATGATTCAAATGATGACATAATTTGACTATGTACAAGTGTCGTTGACGTCATTTCACTTTCTTTGCAAAGTACTCCGTTGCACATTGAACTGCTTGTATCCTTTTTAAAATCTCATTTCTCATAAAAAAAAATTTTCGACATAGACAAAAGCACTAAAGTTGTAACCGTGAAACTTTAATTTGATGAAAAGAGAAATTACAGAGCACATACCTAACGGTAACTAGGAAGTGACCAGGGCCCCGGCCCCATCCCCGGCTAAAGTTAAAACTTTTTGTAAACACGGCCCCGGTAAATTTATAAGATTTAGCAGGGGTTAATAGCTGGGGCTACAAAAAAATTTTTAACACTTTATATATTATAATTTTTTACTTACATTTACTATTTATTAAATACTGGCATATATTTATATATTTTTAAACTCTAATTTACTTCCAACATGATTGTAAGCAACCACTATTAAGTTATGAGTTACTTTGAAATAGAGAGTAATCTAAAATACTAGGAAATGGTTAGCTTTAAATAGATACAGTAAATGGATGCAACTTGTTGAATAAGAAGTCTAATGAGAATGAGTTTTAGTTTATCGTAGTAGAGATAGCTCATTTAGGCATTTACCATGATAGTGTTTGTAGAAAAAAGAAAAAAAATGCAACCTTACAACAATGGGAGAGTGGCTCAAGCTTGGGAGATAAAGCAGGTCGAATTACATTAACAATATGCTTTTAGACTTTTTCTGAGAGTAATTAATTCTGAGAGTATTCGTCAATATAGGAATGCCAACAATATTGCAATATTTTTTTGCAGTAAATGAGTTTTGTTCACTAACAAAAATTGTGTGTTTTGAGTCTGGAACTTAAATCCATAAGCCACTGCAAACCTTAGGCTGTTACAGAAGAGAGATCAAATTATAAATCAGCTGCTTGTTCTGAGATGTAAAACTTTCATGAAGATTGTTATTGTAGATAAGAAACAATACAGGAGCAAAAATAGAACCTTGCGGTACCCTTAAAGTTACTTGAAATAAAGAGGAATGTAATCCTTAAAGAAAAACTTTAATACTGCCGTCAGAAAAAAATAATTTAATATTCTCAAAATCTTTATATAAAAACTAATTACAGAGTAAAGATTAATCGTAGTATCCTAATCTAATTCATCTGATTCTCTCTATCTAATCTCTAATTCATGGGTTTGATCTTTATACTTCTTCCCAGAACAAAGCAGAGTTATTTGCAAAGAAATCTTACTCTAATTTGGCTCTTAAATTTAATGGCCATACTATTCCTTCCAGTTAAACAAATTAACCCATTGTTAAACATGGAAATTATTCTGGCTTCGAATGCTAAAGTTAATTCTCAATTAAACACTTCTACAGTTAGTGCTCCAGACAAGATTTCTATCATAGTCTTAAAATAGTGTTAACCAGAATTCACTTCAATTTTTGCTAAACTTTTAAAATTTTTCAAAACTCTAGAAAACACTTTGACCTCTCCAACTATCCTAGGATAGTTGGAGAGACAATTAGCTTTGGAAGCCAGAGTGATTTCGATGTTTAACAATGGATTAATCTGTTTCACTGGCAGGAAGAGTATGGCCATTAGATTCAAGAGCCAAATTAAAGCAAGATTACTTTGCAAATAACTCTTTTATAATTTAGGGAGAAGTAAAAAGATCAGACCCATGAATTAGAGATTAAATGTTAGACTTGCCTTAGTTAATGACACTGTTGAAGAATATCTAAAAGTCTCTAGAACCTAAAATCTGAGATAGGATATAAGATTTAGTAAACTGAGAATAACAGAACTTAACATCAGGCAGGACCTTTTTTTTAGTTTCTTGAAATAATAAAAGAACATTTGTTTTTAAGAGTTTTTGTAAAAAAGATGAAAAAAATGACTAATGTTAAATAAAGCAATTGCTCAAGATTGTATAAAATGTGGAGAATAAGGCTTGATATAAAATTAAAGAGAAGGAATAAAGCTTCCAAACTTTTATTGAATGAATAAAAGAATTGAATAAAAGCTTCCATATTGCGCTTTATGCATACATATTATGGATATAAACATGTATGTTTGCTATTTATTTAGATGCTGGCATAAAACATGCTTTCAATTTTATATAAACTTTAGTATTTAATGGTGTAGTATTTGCCGAAAGAGAAGATGATCAGATGGATGTGTGACTCTAGTAAGACGAGATAATGAAGCATAATCTTAGACAGATTAGAAAAAAATGTTTTATCGAACAACATTTGTTAAAAAAGATTAAAGTGGTTTAGGTATCAGCTTGTAGAGAGGTAGCAGCTTTAGGAGAAAATGGTAGTAGTAGAAGTAAGAAAACTCGAAGAGAGGGCCGTACATTTTGAATAAACGGGCATTAGTTAAGAAATGAAAATCATCTCAATTGTTTATATTAGAGAAACAGCATAAAAGAGGAAGGCTAAAGCCTGATGATAACGATGATAATAATGATCATGGTGATCATGACGATGGTAATCATGATCATATTGATTATAATGAGTTTTATATATGAACATGTATACAAAATATAATATAAATTTTGAATAAAAAAAGGGTACTTTAGTATGTATAAATGTTTATGCAGCCCCGGTAACGAACCCGGCCCTGGCTATATTTTGTCAAACCCGGCCCCGGTCAAATATACGGGGATGGGTCTTACTTTGTTTTTTTTTTTTTTTCAAGTTGCGGAAAAACCACTTTTTTCAAATAATAGGATGTACAAATCAAACAAATCTGGTGAATGGTGACAAATTTCTTTTTTTTTATACTTTAGAGTGTGTTACCCGTACCAACTATTTTTAGAATTAAGAACGCACTTCACTTGAATGTTATATTAGTATTATTTCTGAAAGTAATGTATCAAAAAAACGGTGCTCAATTTTTTAATTTTACAATTTAATTTGTATGACAACTTTTATTGTTAATTTGTTATGTGCAACTGTGCAATATTCATCTTTTACATAATCGTACTATACCTAAAATCTGCAATTTCGATGCTCAAAACCTTTTAATAACTGTTGTAATAAAAACTTTAGTTATATTTTATTATTTTATAGTAAATGAAGGTTTTGTCACTTGTATTTTCATTATGTATCCTAGTTAGTATTATATGTTACTAGTGCACCTACACACATTAATTTAAATCTCTAACAGTGCCCCTATTATAACTCTATCTTATAATATATCTATCCTATAATATAACCTCCGGTTATATTATAACCCGAGATAGAATAGAGACAAACTCTAGAACAGTTGGTGTCTCTGTTCACCCTACATACGGGTTCAATAGCGAGAGACAGTTAATAAAAAAAATAAAGTCAGCCATTAATTTTAATAATCAAAAAATGAATAATTTATAGGAGCAGTTTTGGACCAAAAAGTGAAACCACAAACGTATATCTCAGTCAAAGGTTCCAGGTAAACCCTAAAAATTATCTCTATTAACCTTATTTTACGGTATCTAAGCAAGAAATTTACTTTAATAATTTTAAAATGGGTTTCTCAGGTGAGACGGAGTCTGTCTCAAGCGATAAGCCCGTTTTAGAGCACTTTTTCCTACAAAGCAAATATATGAAAATTAATGGATTAGATTGCAATAAATGTTTGTTTTGTTTTTGTAACAAATTATCTGGTTCTTTCAGACAATGGCGAATAATCTTTTGATGAATTAGTATTTCAATAGATATGTTATTTCAATAGATATGCTATTTCAATAGATATGTTATTTCAATAGATATGTTATTTCAATAGATATTTTATTTCAAAGTTTTTCTACGGCATCTAAGAAAATGGTAACATTTATTTATAATTTAATTAAGTGTTAAAAAATAATTTATTATTAGTATCATTATCTATTTGTTTTTGGTGTTAAAATTTATTCGGAAAAAACGGCGCTTATTAAAAAAGGTGTTTTATGTTTTCTTCAAAAAATAATGATTATAACGATATTCTTGATATAAAAAATTAATATACTGATGCACAGTGGGCCATGATCAACATTAAATTGACAAAAAATAATAACTCCTTTATTTTTAAAGTTTTTAGATTGAAATTTTTAACAGTAACTCGAGTTATTATTGACAAAAAAAGTTTTTAGATTGAAATTTTTAACAGTAACTCGAATTATTATTAAAAATTTTTATAGTAAATATTAAAAAAACTAGAGTTAATATTAAAAAAAAATCAATTATTTTTTTGCAGATCCTGTACTCTTAACAACTTAATAGAAAAGGGTGTAAAGGGTTAGGGGTTTTAGACATAACTTTTGGTTGTTTTTAGAAACAGTTTTTTCCCAGATTTCAAAGTAATAATTAGTTAAAATATTTGCTACGTTGCCCTTTTTATAAACAAAGAAACGTTTATTTATTAGATATTTTATCAGAAATCAGAGAAATATTATACGAAATATAGATTTTACAGGTTTATAGGTCGTATAAAAGATATAGTAAAAGTTTAATACAATCTTTGTTAAGCTCAAGTTCTTTAATACATCTCAAACTCCTTCTTAGAGAGTTAATAAGTGGATCTGAACTGTATAATATTCTTCGCATAACACTTTCATTAGTAATTTTTTTAGAATATTTTCTCCTATAGAGAAAATATTCAAAAAAAAATTTCTCTCTCATTTGTAATGTCTTTATTTCTGAGCTTTCTCAGAAAGAAGACCTACTAGTACAGGTTTATCTTTTACAACTTGAGAACTCTGAATTATAATTTGTACAATTTGAGGCATTGGGAATCACGGGTACAGAGAAACATAGAGCTCTGCTGTTTCTTTGGTATATTTTAAAGTTAACCAGCGTTAATTCAATGTTTTTATGATAAAACACAAAGAACTACGTAGAAACGACACATAAGGCTCTTATCTTATAAGTATTTCAGCAGAGATCTTGTAGTTTTGGAATACTTTTCGTGCCGTGTTCCATTATTTGTTGTACCTTTACCTCTGCTTTTTGGTATATCGACAATTAAATCTAAGTGATTCTTTTGTTGAACAATAATTGTTTTTTTATGACAATTTCTTTAGCATCTTCTCAACGAACTTGCCACTTTCCTAATTAAATGCACATAATCCATGCATGTAATGTGCTCAATTTAAGTTCAGTGTAAACTGTATTAGAGATTTTTGAAAAAGCAACATTTAGATTTCATATTTAAAGGGGTCATTCCACAAATACAATATACTTGAAAAAAATTACTTAAAGGCAAAATTATAGTAGCCACTTTTCCATCAAATAATTGTACATTCTAAATTATGTCTGATAATAAAGCAATTAAAGACCGTTGGTTTCAAATAAATGTTCTTGAAGGAAATATATTCTTGTATAACAACCTCAACACTTTCTTTTACATATTGAAACTGTACTGGACGGCAGTAAAGTGTAGAGGATGGCTTTTCATTAGTCCCTAGTGATTCGCTAGATTCTTCAATTTAAAGTTTAATTGGAACAATGCAAGATAAAAATAAAGATTGTTCCTCTACATAACTGATATTTATCTCGTCTTCTGTACTTTGTTTGTATAATGGTTGGCTGGTTGAACCATCAAATCCTACTTTGTGTATAAAGACAATAATGCATTTGTCAGGAGCCTTTACAGATTCATTGAGCATTTTTAACAACCTGTATGTAGTATGGTCAAAAAGACCTATAAACCTGTAAATCTATGGTCTGTAAATTAACTAAGGCTAAATAATCATTAGTTTGTATTCCACCACGAGGTATACAAAAAACTTTTTCTTCCCTTACTTCATTATAAGTTGAATACAATTAGCTTCCTTTAAAAACTGTTCCAATGTGAATTTTTTGGTAATCGGTTTTACTAAATCGGCAGCCCAAAATCAAAGCTGATGTTTTTTCTCCAGTATACATTGTTGTTGACTGCACCATCATTCTCTGATTTTAATATTTGCTTCACAAACTTAAATGTAAAATTGAAAAGTGAGATGTTTGCAGTTAACTAAGAAGTTTTATCACCCGTAGTATTTTAGAGATTTTTTTTTAATAAATAAGGTGAATTAAAAATGACTTTAGTATAGATGTTATTGTATCTTAGAATTGCTGAACCTTTCCTTTTTTAGTTTCAAAATAAGGGAGTAAAAAAATTTCTCTTTTTCGACAGTAATGTTTGTTTTTTCTGTTCTCGGCTTCTTTTTTTTCATAGGCTTTTGGTGGATGGTATGGAATTTGCACCTGTTGGTCTTCTGTAGACAACTTATTTAAATTAAAATATCAGATGATTGTATTTAGTATAAACACTTGCTAAAACACAAATAAATAGTAAAAAACATCATGAGTACGTTACTTTAATTTTCATGAAATAATTGTGAGAAGAAGTAGGAAAAGCCAAGTCCTAGTTTTGTCTATGGTCTAGTTTATCTGTTTCAAAAGATGCATCGCTTGTTTGGTGTTCTTTTCCTTACCAAATTTTGTAATGCAACTCAAATCTATCCTTATGTCTGTTTACTTTATTCTATTTTTTGTTAAATTGTTTATAAAATAATTTGAAGCCTATGTCAGAGATCCCTGTTGCTTTATATGTATATATATATATATATATATATATATATATATATATATATATATATATATATATATATATATATATATATATATTTGTATAGATATCGATATATAGAACATATTCATATATATATATATATATATATATATATATATATATATATATATATATATATATATATATATATATATATATATATATATATATTTGTATAGATGTCGATATATAGAACATATTGCTTTATATTATATATTGCTAGTATGTATAAATTTCAGGTTTATTTTATCTTTTATTTAGTAGGTTAAGGTGGGGCAAGAAGCCCACCACAAGCAGTTTCGTCTTTTTTTTACTTATCCAATAAACGTATCTAGAAATTTATGTTACCATTATTTCAGATACACTTTACATTTATTTTTCTAAAATACAAATTTTTTTTTTTTATAATATGGCTGTTACATTATTAGAAATAACAAAATTGTTTGAGGACTACAAAAAAGAATTTGAGTTGATGTTAAAACAACAAGAAAAAGTTTTTATTGATATTATTAGTGGAAACTTGAAAATATTTAATGGCAGGTTGGAAAAAGTAGAAAAAGACATCGAAGAATTGAAACTTAGTTTAAACTTTCATGAACAACTAATTGAGGAAAAAGTTAAGAAAGCAAAGGTTTGCAGTAAAGAAGACAATTCAGAAAGTATACAAAAAAAGTTAAGGGAATTGGAAGATCGATCTAGACGTAACAATTTAAGAGTAGATGGAATTGATGAAAATGAAGGTGAAAGCTGGGAAGAAAGCGAAATGAAGGTAAAAAAAATATTGAAGATATATTATCAGTTAAAAATGTCCAAATTGAACGGGCACATAGAACTGGAAACAAAAAATTAAAAATGCCGAGGACAATAGTGATAAAACTTTTAGATTTTAGAGATAAAGTCGCGATCTTGAGCAAGTCGAGTAAGCTAAAAGGGAAAAACATTTATATAAACGAAGACTTCTGTTTTGAAACAACACAAATCAGAAAAAATTTGAGGGAGAAAATGAAAATTGAACGAGCCGCTGGTAAGTTTGCCTTCATATCTTATGATAAATTGATAATTCGCGATTGGGTTGCAAAGAAAAGCAAAAATTTATCTTCATAATATTTGGCATTAATTAACGCAATTTTATTTTTATTATTACTATGCATATTTAATTAAACTGTTTTAAAAATGGAGGAAAATGTCATATTTAAATCTTCTAATGAAAATGACATCATCGGTGAAAATGACACCGACTCTAATTATTTTAATCACAAAATGCTAGAAAGTCAATACTACTCAGTTTCTGAATCTTCGCAATATCTAGGACAAACTAAAAACACTTTTTCAATTTTAAATATCAATATTCGAAGTTTAAATAAAAACTTTGAAAATTTAAAAATTTTATTGGATGAAATTAAACACGATTTTAAAATTATATGTTTGACGGAAACTTGGTGTAAATGCAGTGAAACAAATTATGAATTTGAACTAGTTAATTACACATCAATTCACCAACCGCGTGAAGTTAATGCGGGTGGGGGCGTTAGTATTTTTATCCATAATTCAGTTAATTATATTTTACGTAACGATCTCTGCGTCAATGAAACAGATTATGAATCATTGTGCGTCGAATTAGTAAATAATAAAGAAAAAAACATAATTATAAATACTACATATAGACCACCATCTGGAAACTTAAAGAAATTTAAAACTCATCTTAAAACATTTCTAAACAAAATTACAAATTCGAGAAAACATATTTATTTGGTGGGGGATTTTAACATTAACCTGATCAACTATGCTTCAAATGATAATACTAAGAATTTTATAAATACTCTTCTACAATATAACTTTATCCCAACAATAAACAAATCAACAAGAATAACAAATAGGTCCTCTACTCTACTTGATAACATCATAACTAACAACTTTCATAATAACCCTCTTTACACAGGTATAATCCAGACCGATTTATCGGATCATTTTCCTACATTCTTAGCTACAAATAACATTTTAATTAACAATATTTCCACAAAATCCATAATAATTCGGCGACAGATCAATGAAAACTCCTTAAAACAATTTAAAAATTGTTTTAAGGAGTTTTAAAACAATTTAAAAATTGTGTTGATTGGAATCTAGTACTGCAAAACAATTTAAAAATTGTGTTGATTGGAATCTAGTACTGCAGTCAAATGAGGCTAACAATGCATATGACTTGTTTCTTAATCAATTTTGCAAACAATATGAAATAGCGTTTCCAGAAATAAAAAAAAGTCATAAATACCAAGTCACTTCAAGCTCCCTGGATGTCTAAAGGCTTACTAAAATCTTCAAAAAAGAAAGAAAAATTATATATAAAATATTTAAAAAAAAAAACTTATAAAAATGAAATAACTTACAAAAATTATAAAAATATATTTGAAAAAACCAAAAAATACTCAAAAAAACTATTTTATGATCAATTATTAAAGAAAACCAACGGAAACACTAAAAAAATATGGAATTTAATTAAGGATTTAATTGGAAAAAATAATTATAACAAAAGCACTCTGCCAAAAAATCTTTTAATTAATGGAGAATTAGTTTATGAAAAATCAATTATAGCTGAAGAACTAAACAACTACTTTGTTAATATTGGCCCGAATTTGGCTGCTAAAATTTCTACTAATTCCATTCCATTTGATTCATACTTAAAAACTTATGATAAACTTATGGATGAAACTGATTTAAAACTGAGTGAGTTGAGAAATGCATTTAGCAGTCTCAAAAGTAAAAAAAGTGAAGGTTTTGATAAAATTAGTGTTGATGTTGTCAAATCAGTATTTGAAGTCATTGAACCTTCTTTATTTCACATTTTCAATCTCTCATTAAAGTCAGGTATTGTTCCTAATAAATTAAAAATTGCCCGTATAACACCAATTTTTAAATCTGGAGATAAGTCAAATATTTTAAACTACAGGCCTATATCAATCTTACCTTGTTTTTCAAAATTGCTAGAGAGAATAATGTATAACAGACTTTATAATCATCTAACTGAGAACGACATGTTGTATTGTAAACAATTTGGTTTAAAAAAAAAAATTCCACTGAACACGCAGTAATTGAACTTTCCAATCAAATATCTAATGCCTTAGATAATGACTGTTTTACATTAGGAGTTTTCATTGATCTGTCAAAAGCTTTTGATACCGTAAATCACTATATACTAATAAAAAAACTCGAAAACTACGGTGTAAAAAATAAAAACTTACTTTGGTTCAAAGATTATCTGACTAACAGAAAGCAATTTTTATACTATAATCAAAATAATACAATTCCACACTCCATAACTTGCGGGGTTCCTCAGGGTTCTATTTTAGGACCACTTTTATTTATATTGTATATAAACGACTTATACCTATCAACAAATCTTTTAGACCTAATTTTGTTTGCTGATGATTCAAATCTTTTTTGTTCTCACAGAGATATTAAATCACTTTTTAAAATAGTTAACGAACAGTTATGTAATGTTAGTGCATGGTTCGTAAGTAATAAACTTTCACTAAATGCGGAAAAAACAAAATATATGCTTTTCCATAAAGTAAATAAATCAGAAAATATTCCTCTTAAATTACCAGATCTTAATATTAATAAAACTTATATTAAAAGGGAATCTTACATAAACTTTTTAGGAGTAAAATTGGATAAAAATTTAAAATGGTGTTCACATATAAATAGCATTGAAAAAATAATCTCAAAAAATATTGCAATGATGTTTAGGGCTAAACCCTTTCTAAATATATCATCTCTGAAAAAATTATATTTCGCCTTTATTCACAGTTATTTGTCTTATTGTAATGTTGTGTGGGCCAGTACTAGCCATACGAAACTAAAGAAACTCTACAATAAACAAAAACACGCATGTAGAATAGTATTTGGAGCCGACAGAAATGTTCCTTGCGAACCACTTCTAAGTGTGCTCGGTGCTTTAAATGTATATAAACTCAATTTACGCCAAGTTTTATTGTTTATGTTTAAACAAAAAAGGAATTGTCTCCTAAAATATTTCAATCTTATTTTAATAAAATTAACCATAGGTACTCAACAAAGTTTTCAGAAAACAATTTTGTTGTTTCAAAACATAAATTAAAATTAACTTCCTATTCATTTAAATACCGCGGACCTTATCTGTGGAAGAAATTTCCAGATATTGTTAACAAAAAGCAGACTACATTAGAGCAATTTAAGGATGAATCAAAACGATTATTATTGTTCATGGATCTCAATAAATCCGACTTTAAATGTTTATTTTAAAGTAAACACAATAAAAAAAAATAAAAAAAAACAGATTCAATTATATCAATGATATACGATAATATGAATAAGAAAAGAAAGAAAAAGGAAAAAAAAGAAAAAAAAAAAAAAAAAAAAGAATAAGAAATCCAAGTGATGATGTCACAAGTGATGATGTCATAATTGATGATGTTACATATTCATTTAGTGTTAATTATGAGATTTTATTTTTTCAATTTCTTTTATATTCAGGAATTTTTTTTTTTTTTTTTTATATTAACTTATTTCTTAAACATTTTAGCAACTGTTAAGCATCTTAACGCTTCTTAATTAATTCTTATTTTTTATTTTTTTTATTATATTAGTTATTTTCTATTTCATTTCTAATTGTTTCTTTTATATATATATTTGTATGTTACGGTTATGTAGAATTTTTAATGGGGCTCGGCGATAAGGCGAAATGTGCCTTCTTCTTGCTCCAGCCATCAATTTATATAAATGTATATGCAATGTAAACATTTTTTAAGGGCGAAATAAATTACACTAAAAAAAAAAAAAAAAAAATAATAATAAACTTAAGTATCTAAAGTTATTTTCTTAATGGCTACTCAAGTTTTAATGGAAATATGCTTTTTATAAACTGCTATAGAGTGGGCCTTTTGCCCCAAACGTTAATAGCTTGAAATATTCCTTTTTTACAATAAAAATTTATTGCAACAATACACTTTTTACTAGTCACAATATATTTGTGTGTAAAAATGTCCAACAAAAGTTTTAGTAGAACACTTAGCACCATAATATTAGCAAGTAGCACCATATATGCTATCATATGACAATGGCAAACAGCACCGTAAAATTAATAGAGCTAAAAAGAGCTAAAAATTTATAGACTAAAAAGATAGCTATAAAAACTAATTTATAGAGCTGAAAAACACAGCTAAAAGCTAATTCATAGAGCTAAAAAGATATCTAAAAAAATAATTCATAACCCAAAAAGGCAGCTAAAAAACTGATTCATACAGCTAAAAAGACAGCTAAAAAACTACAGTAAGACTAGTTGAATTGATTATGCCTATTTGCAGTGAAAGCAGACAGCAGTGTCATTAGGACCACAGCCGTCGTGGTACCAGTTGAGACATTCTGGGCATTGCTGCCAGTCATCAATGGGTGGTTCGTTAAGTCTTTTACCACACATGCAACATGGCGTATCATCACTGTTAGTAACAGAACATACATATCTTCGTTCTTTTGACCCTTTTCTTATCACGTAAGCACTCGATGCGTTACTTTTGATTGTCCTTTTTGATTTTGTTCTCGCATATTGCTACCTTTTCCCGGTTTCTTTGTCATCTCCACTTTTCGTTCTCTTGGATTTGTCTGCGATTACATCGATTTCGTCTTCATCATTTTCCTCATTATTATTTTCAACTACTACTTGCTTGTTCTGTTTTGTCTTCTTTGCATTTGCTTCAATTAACATTGCTTTATAAGGACTAGAAGTTATTACAGTTGCTGCTTCGGTTTTTCGTTTGCGACTGCGTACATTCTTTATCCTTGGAATAGGGCTTAGTTCTGATATAATCTGCAATGCTTCGGATAAACCAGGATGATCCGCTGTTTTATCTAGTTAATTTTCATCGGACTCATTGCTATCTCCTGTGGCAATCCTATCAGTCTCCATCACATTAACCGATGCTTCATCATCCACCGCATTGCCGGCTTCTTCATTTGTATTCGTAGGTTCACTTGTTTCGTTTCTAGCTAATAATGCTCTTTCCATCATTTGGATGTGTTTAACAAGATCTTGTTCAATTTCAATAGAAAAAGTATTCACATGATTTCCTAATTTATTGCTCCCAACTTGTCTTACTTTGCCCTGCAAATGCCTTCTCAATGTCTTCCTTGAAACTCCAAAACTGTTTTCAGCTTTACGCAAAGACATACCATTTTTTACTTAATC